ATAAACATGTATATATAGTTTTTGTCATAATATATATATATATAAATTAATACATCTAGTCTAAAATTGATATCCTGCGCATAAACAACTCGGAACCACTCGACACAAATTAGGTCATTTTAGGACTAACACAGTGATTCTCAACCAGTGTGCTGCCCCACAGAGGTGTGCCGCGAGATCTTCCTAAGTGTGCCGCAAAATTTTGATAGCTGTGTTTTTCTTTATTTAGTTGAGACATTCTATGTGTCTATGTCTAGTCAGTTTCTACGGTTGTATGCTGTCTGACTTACCATGTTTTTATTCTGCAAAATTCAGTATTTTTGTCCCCCGCCTTTCGAAGAAAGCAGGGGACTATTAAAATGGGTTCGTCCGTCTGTCTGTCCGTCTGTCTGTCCGTCTGTCTGTCCGTCACACTTTTTGGGACACAATAACTCTCTTCCTAATTGAGCTAGAATGTTCAAACTTGGTGTATGTGTTTATTAGGTCAATGCCTTGATGGAGTTCGAAGATGAGCATTTTCCGCTTAGGGTAAGCAGAGATAAGCAATTTGATTGGTTGATGCTTTGGGACACGATAACTCTCTTCCTAATTGGGCTAGAATGTTCAAACTTGGTGTATGTGTTGATTAGGTCAATGCCTTGATGGAGTTCGAAGATGAGTATTTTCCGCTTAGGGTAAGCAGAGATAAGCAATTTGATCGGTTGATGCTTTGGGACACGATAACTTTTAATTGAGCTAGAATGTTCAAACTTGGTGTATGTGTTTATTAGGTCAATGCCTTGATGGAGTTCGAAGATGAGCATTTTCCGCTTAGGGTAAGCAGAGATAAGCAATTTGATTGGTTGATGCTTTGGGACACGATAACTCTCTTCCTAATTGGGCTAGAATGTTCAAACTTGGTGTATGTGTTGATTAGGTCAATGCCTTGATGGAGTTCGAAGATGAGTATTTTCCGCTTAGGGTAAGCAGAGATAAGCAATTTGATTGGTTGATGCTTTGGGACACGATAACTTTTAATTGAGCTAGAATGTTCAAACTTGGTGTATGTGTTTATTAGGTCAATGCCTTGATGGAGTTCGAAGATGAGCATTTTCCGCTTAGGGTAAGCAGAGATAAGCAATTTTTTGGTTGTTACTTTGGGGCACGATAACTCTCTTCCTAATTGAGCTAGAATGTTCAAACTTGGTGTATGTGTTGATTAGGTCAATGCCTTGATGGAGTTCGAAGATGAGCATTTTCCGCTTAGGGTAAGCAGAGATAAGCAATTTGATTGGTTGATGCTTTGGGACACGATAACTTTAGTTCTAATTAAGTGAGATTGATGAAACTTGGTGTATAGTTTCATTACAGTAATACCTTGACTAAGTTTGATAATGAGCATTTTCTGCTCAGGGTAAGCAGAGCGATACGCAATTTGATTTTTATATGTGTCCTCTAATTATTTTCCTATTTTGGCGGGGGACATCAGCCTCACTGTTGGCTTGTTCATATATATTTAGCCAGGGGTGCGGCTATTTTTCATGTGTTGCAAGGTGTGCCGTTGGCAAAAAAAGGTTGAGAACCACTGGACTAAAACATGGTCCAATTTTATTTTGATTATTTGCTAGTGTGTAGGAGTCTTTAGTCAGAGGTGAGAACAAGTCGCAATCTTAAGTTGCTGACTTTAGTGTCGAGTCGAGTCCCAAGTCTTCGCAAAGTCTGAGTCCCATTCAAGTCACTAGTTCATCAAACGAGTCAGCAATCATTCTTTGTTACATGACAATTTAAAATATGTAATTTAAAAATTAAGAACTTTTTTTTAATGAGCTTTTCATTGTTTTCTCCTTCCTTTTTATTGCTTGCTTTGTCTTAATTAATTATGCTGTGTATAAAACCACATTTTGAAAAATTCAAATGTATTTTATGGTTTATTATTGTTTATATTTTAAAAGACTAATTAAACCTTTTGAATTTTATTAAATGAAAGCAGATTATTGAAATTTTGTTTTCAACTAAAATCATTGATTTAGGACTCAATATGTCTGTCAACTTGCTTTGTGTCTGTTCTGAAGCAGAGCTTATTGTAGACAGACAGCCTAAGTTTAGTATGTTATTGATTGGGGGAGGGGAAACGAGAAAATTATTCACATAAAATATTTAGTTGCTTTGACTAATGGATTCAGATCAAATTTTTAAGTTTTGAAATTTTGAACAAAACATTGTTCACTGACTCTAGTAGCTTTTTATTTATTAAGATTTCTATAAATTGAATTCGTTCAAACTGATTAAAACACAGATCCTATTTTGTTCTGGTTTTGTTTAGAGTTCAAAATTCCATTTTACTTGTCTTTACTACACTAAGATCTGGAATAGTTGTTATATAACCGAGTTCTAGATGATGTAAGGGATTAACCAATGAAACAGTCTGTTACAGCAAGTTTTTGGCGCGAAGTACACAGAACTGTGTGTAACCCAATATAGAGACGTCAACACAGATTGGTTAATCAAATGTCTGACGCCTTGGGGTCAAAAGCCTTTCGTATGACCTCTGACTCGACCTCCCACTACAACCAGTCAGATCTTCATGTAGTGTCGGCCATCGAAAGTATAATATAGATCGAAACGAAATATAGATCTGTATTTTAATCAGATTGGAAATCGTTTGGCCATATATGTTTTAAGTTTTATGTGTTTTTCTATACTTTGTAATGTATTGCAAAATATCAAATTTTGTTTGAAGAAGTTGTAGAACTTTGAAGAACGTCAATTTTATCAAATTTAATCAAATGAAATATTTGATGTTTAATTTTATTTCTGAGCTTCATTGTATCTTGTGATATTTTGTCATTTTCTTAAAATCTTTTTTTAAAAATCTTCTTAATCAAATAAGTTTTTTTTTAATTGAAAGCATGTCAATTGTTAATTTAGTGCAATATATTTTTTATTTTTATTTTAGAAAAATAGAATTAGAATGTAGGGTTTATAGTATTCTACAAGCTTGATTATCGTACTCACAGGCATCTAAAACATGGAAAATCTCTTTTAAAAATAATATTATGTTCAGACGGAGTATAATGTCTAAAGTCTATTATGTTCATGGAGCCACAGTGGTTCTGTGAGTAGGATGTTGGCTTGCTAACTTGGAGGTCCCGTGTTCAATCCCCGTGTTGTCCCAGAATGTTTATCGGAATTTTCCGCCATCGTTCCCACTTGTCAGTGGTGTATGACAGAGGGCCTGGCAAGGAACAACGTATAGTCGTTCAGATGGGACGAAAAACCAAGGTCCTGTGTATGCATTGGGGTGCATGTTAAAGAACCTTCGAGTTGGAATTCGAAATAAGAGAAGGTCATAGCGTCGCTGTCTGGGCAAATTGTTGCTTCATAGAACATGGCGTATGTCTATCTTCATTAGCCCAGTAGGAGTAGAACAGTAGGATGTTAAACCCCATTTTTCATCTCTATTACGTTCATGTTCGAAAGCAGGATTATCAAATTCAGGTGCAAATAACTTATCCGAAACCTGACTAATAGAGTTTGTTTTCCAATGAGTTATTTGCCCCTGAAATATTATTTAAATAATGTATGATAACCAATTTACCTGTATCATTATTTGAAATAATGGTACAGGTACGCCAACATCATAGGATGATGTCATATTTGTGTTTTATTAGTGATTTTGTAATTTGTAGATTTTGTAATTTGTATCTATGTATATATAATATTTTTGTCGTGTAAATATTTATATTAAAAGTCGGCAGTAAAACTTATATATATATATTAGTTTAGTTTCTGGTTTATGTACTGGTTCCTCGTTTGCCATTATCGGTAAGAACTTTGGCGTACAAGTAAACACACCCTTGACAGTTGTAATTGGGTGATTATTAGGCAGACACGCTACCGCCGGGGCAAAATGTCCCTCATGCCATAATACATGGCATATACCCGCCTTCTTTAGTCCTGTTAATATATATTAGTATGGTTTGTGTAGCGTAGCTGCAGTGAGTAAGGTGCTGGCTCACTAACCAGGGGGTCCGGGGTACATTCAAGGTGTTGGCCGAGAAAGTTCTCCTGGATATTCCAGCATGGCTTCCCCTTGTCAGTAGTGCAGGATGGATGTCCTGGCATTAGGGACAACATATACACGTTGGCGTGTACTTTTAAGAAACCTCGACAGTTGGAATTTATAATAAATGAAATGAAATGGGGTTTAACGTCCTACTGTTCTGCTCCTAAACTGGGCTAATGAGGGAAATTTTGCCCGGGCAGTGGCTACGGCCTACTCTTATATCAAATTCCAACTGCCAAGGGATCTTTTACGTGCACTCCAATGTGTACACGGGACCTCCGTCCTGCAAATTTGAAATAAGAGTAGTAGGTTGTAACCTCAGTGCCCGAGCAAAACTTCCCTCCTAGCACAATATCGTATGCCCATCTTCATTAACCCATTTGGTACAGAAAAATAGGACATTAAACCCCACATTATTATGACAGGAATGCAATGCACCACTGCTAATCATCCATCCTTGATATATGGTATTTACTTTTATTCCGACCTGGTTCCCCCTTGTCAGTGGTGCAGAACGGAGGGCCTGACAAGGACAGCTGTCTAGTCCTTCGGATGAGACGGAAAACCGAGGTCCCGTGTATACATTGGAATGCACGTAAAAGATCCCTTGGCAGTTCGAATTCGATATAAGAGTAGGCGATAGTGCCGCTGCCCGGGCAAAATTTCCCTCATAGCACACTGTATGGCATATGCCGTCTTCATTAGCCCAGTATAGGAGCAGAACAGTAGGACGTTAAACCCCATTTCATTTCATTTCAATTCATTTACTTTTATAACCCCCATCCTGGTTAGATCTAAATATTAAGGCCACCTGCCGATTTCGTCAAGGTTACAAGATGTAAACAGGGTTAGGGTTAGCCCTAGCTGTTTACATCGTGACCTTGACGAAATCTGCGGGTGCCCTTAATATTTACACCTACCCCCACACCCCCACTAAAAATAACTGTAATGCATCTTATTCGTAGAATTCTTTAATAATAAAATATTTACAAGCTGCGTTGAATACATGGTTAATTTGATTGATACAAGCAAGGCATCCATTATATACGATAGGTAGTAGTTATAATATATTATATAATATATACAAATTATATAAACAAATAAATCACATTGTTTTTAGAATGAATAAATCATTAGGAATATAACATGAGACAATTAAGTTTACATGCACAAAAAAAAAAAAACAGAATTAAAAAAACAAATTTACAAAATATTTACAATCCTTGAAGCACTATTGATATTTATATTTGAAGCATTTCAAACTTTCAAATTGTTTTCTAATTTTGGCCATTGAGTGACGATGATAAAAGTTGTGCATAGGACAAAATATATAATCAACATTTCAATATATCAACTGCTATTTACAATTATCAACTTAATAATTCATTGATAAGAAATATATGATTTCCATTAACAGCGGCACCAGAGACAGGGTGGAGAGTTATCCCCACTATCCGACACGCGTTAAAAAAAAATTAAAATATTAATGTATCAGTCGAGCTCCAGAAGTCAAATTTCCCATCCTCTGATGCCAAGTTTATTATTTTTTAAATGTGTTCCTTATAAGAAAATTAAATTGCGAATTTTGCTGAGAAATTAGGACTATCTTTAAGTGGAGGCCCCCACCTGGCCCATGTATACAGAATAGGTAATATATATGTTTTACATACTGACCATATGTGAATATCATCCTTGACCTCTACAGATATTTCTACATTGTTGCCATAGTTACATGTATAATTAAATATGGCTGTTTGAAGTTTATACAAATTATAAGCATTGATCGGATTATATGTAGACGACAGCACATGACAACATAGATTAATATTATTTATATTGATATACCGGTAACTGACTAATTGAGTTTTATAGACCACAGCAACACAGGGATCGAACCTGACACATCCTGGTTATAGCAAGCCAGCGCTTTAGTCACTGAGCCACTGTGGCTCCTGTCACAACATAGATAAGTATTATTATTATTGATATAATTGACTAGTTGTGTTGAATAGACCACAGCAACACAGGGATCGAACACAATACCTCCTGGTTATAGCAAGCTAGCGCTTTAGTCACTGAGCCACTGTGGCTCCTGTCACAACATAGATAAGTATTATTATTATTGATATAATTGACTAGTTGTGTTGAATAGACCACAGCCACACAGGGATCGAACCCAATACCTCCTGGTTATAGCAAGCCAGCGCCTTAATCACTGAGCCACTGTGGCTCCTGTCACAACATAGATAAATATTATTAATATAACTGACTAATGGAGATAACGATACCAGTAGTTGTTGGTGGTACCTGGTACTAGTGAATAAATAGTTAACATTAAGTGTATGACAAAGGAAAATGTTAATACACCAAATATACATTAAACACAGTTGTTAAAGATGAGTATTATATCCTTAAATGACATTTAGAAGTAGAGATATAACATTAATTATAACACAACTTTATGGATTTACTTCTTCTTTGTTATAAATTGTTTTTACTCGTGGATGTACTATAAATATATGGTTGTTATTCATTATTGATCATTGCTTTATAAAGATACCTGTAAGAGTGAGAGAGAGAGAAATGGGGTTTAACGTCCACTCGACACAACCTAGGTCATTTCGGGACTAACATATGGTTTAATTTTATTTCATTAATTCGCTTGCGCGTAGGGGTCTTTAGCAGTGGGAGGAAACCAGAGGACCCGGAGAAAACCCACGAGGTTGGACAGGTGACCCTACTCCTTGTCACGTACAACCGTGGAATCGAAACCACGCCAGTTGACTCAATGACAGACTTTATGATACAGCGCGCACACGCTAACCATTTAGCCATCCAACCCACCTACCTGTAAGAGTACTGAAACGTTGTATGTAATAAACTAAGAAGTAGTAAATCCATAAAGTTGTGTTATAATGAATATGAGTATTGTTTATTATAATACAGTATCAACGGCAATCATTTGGCAGAAAATCGTGTTAACTAGAGGACGCTTGACAACAAATCAAATATATCTGAAGTCAAAAGCAATTTTTAAAATACATAAATATTGGTTATCGATGATATCTACACAGACAATTACAAGTGTAGGCCCGACTAACAATGTGCAATTGTCCAAAGACAATGGCAGAGCCTTAAGCTTCTTCCTTGAAAAGCGTCACCCAATATTACCAATTGTATGGGCAGAAAAAGAGAGCGAGAAAGAAATGGGGTTTAACATCCATTTGACACAAACTAAGTCATTTTGGGACTAACATATGGTTCAATTTTATTTCAATAATTTGCTTGTGCGTAGGGGTCTTTAGCAGTGGGAGGAAACCTATGAGGTTGTCACGTTCCAGTGGAGGATAAAAATCACACCACTTCACTCAATGACAGACCTTGTGATTTCACGCGTAGACAATATCAGATACCAACTGGCGCCGAGGGTTAGTTCCATGTCTAAAACTGGTCTAAAACAATCCTTCATCGATCTTTGAACAAAAAAAAGACTTTAGTGAACATAAAACAAAACATTAATAAATTAATTGGCTTAGCTGTACAAAAAGCTCCTGAGTCAAGATGAAGGAAAGTGGAACAACAAAAGGGTATAATATACAATGACAGACTATTAATTATATCAATATATGACTTGAAAACCTGGACTATAACATTCAATGCCAGACAATATATCAATATAGAACTTGTAAACCTGGACTATACTATTCAATGACAGACAATGGCTGAAACGAGAACCCAGGATTGTATGATTTTTCAGTTATCACAACTTGTGTAATATTGTGTAATATATAATATTTATACCAGGTTGTTGTGTAATATATAATATCACCAGGTTGTTGTGTAATATATAATATTTATACCAGGTTGTTGTGTAATATATAATATCACCAGGTTGTTGTGTAATATATAATATTTATACCAGGTTGTTGTGTAATATATAATATTTATACCAGGTTGTTGTTTAATATTACAATATGTATAACAGTTTGTTGTGTAATATATAATATCACCAGGCTGTTGTGTAATATATAATATTAACAACAGGTTGTTGTGTAATATATAATATTCAAATCATTATAAATCAGTATAAAATTTTAAAGTACAATATTTGACCATTTATCAATCCTATATAAGATCGACAGTAACTAAAACTTTGGTGTTCACTTTCATTGGCATCTTATCATAGCAGTAGTAGGTCTGATAAATTTGGCTAAAAACTTTTGGTTATATAATTAATAATTCACAAAATTTCATAATGACCATCACACAATCATTCAGTCATCATATTTTATTGTCTGTGTATTTTATAATTCACAAAATATAATGACAGTCATACAATCATTTAGTCATATTTTAATTCACATAATTTCAAAATGTCTATTAATTTTATAATTCATAAAACATAATGACTGTCATACTATGATTATATTTTAATTCATATAACTTCAAAATGTCCACTTATTTGGCAATATCCTTCCAGTGATACCCTTATAATGTTCACCTCGTCATCGTATTTACAATTTACAAATTATACATCATGTTGTTTATTTTCTCATCTGTAACCCTTGGAAACCATGTGTTGTCAACTGTGTCTCTTCAAAAGCTTTTCTTCCTTCATCACCTAAAAGAGAAAAATGAAATTAAAGAAATGAAATGGGGGTTTAAAAATGTGATTAAAACACAGATCCTATTTCGTTTTGTCTTTTATAGTTCAAAATTTTACTTTTCTTGTCTTTACTACATCTGGAAGAGTTGTTATATAACCCGCGTTCTGGATGATGTGAGGGATTGGCCAATGAAAAGGTCTGTTACAGTGAGTTTTTGGCATGAGGTGCACAGAACTGTGGGTATCCCACTAGAAACATCAATGCCAATTGGTTAATCAAATGTCTGACATCTTAGGGTCAAAAGCAGCTTGTATGACCTCTGATGTGACCTTTCATGACAACCGGTCAGATCTTCATGTAGTGTAGGCCATCGAAAGCATAAAAAAAAACGAAATGAAATGGGGTTTAACGTCCTACTGTTCTGCTCCTACACTGGGCTAATGAAGACGGGCATACGGCATACAGTGTGCTATGGGGGAAATTTTGCCCGGGCAGCGGCACTATCGCCTACTCTTATATCGAATTCCAACTGCCAGAGGATCTTTTACGTGCAATCCAATAAATACACGGGACCTCGGTATTGCGTCTCAACCGAAGATAAAAAAATGAAACGAAATATAGATCTGTGTTTTAATCAGATTGGGGGTTTAACATTCTAGGCTTCTTTCAAGTGCAAATCTACATGTACACAGGACCTTCGTTTTTCTTTCCGTTCTATCCGAATTACTAGAGGCTTTTACTTGGATTGTCTCCCTTGTGGTGAGTTTGTTTCCATTTTGAGTGGGAATGTACAGCGCAGTCGCTTTGGACGTTTTCGACTGGCCCCCAAATTTATTCACTTGATTTGATATATACTTTTGATTTTTATTACTTGTAATATCCGTTGTGTTTTTTGTTTTTGTCGGCTGGTTAGTACTATTAGATAGTATTTCAAAATTGTGAAAATGAAGTAAAACGTACCTAGTGAAAACAAGGCATCTTTAGCTTTACGTCTGACTGTTGTGGAATCATCTGATTGACAGACAAATACCAACTGATCTGTACACTCAACAGCCTGTAATATAAAACATAGGTTGCTAGGTAACCAAACATACACACAACAGATAACTCTTCCAAGCAGGACAAACTGATGGGAGAGAGAGGAATGGGGTTTAACATCCACTCGACACAGCACTAACATATGGTTTAATTTTATTTCAATAATTCGCTTGTGCATAGGGGTCTTTAGCAATGGGAGGTCCCAGAGAAAACCCACAAGGTTAATATATTTTAGGCTTTGGTTATTTTCAGGTAAAATAATAGGTCTGTTGGTCAGTCGAAATATGCAGTGATTCATTATTGCTGCTGTGTTGAAGAAAATATGTCTCCAAGTCGTTGACATTGTCATTGTCTACAAAATAGCAAGGGCACGGCAAAGTCAAACCACACTACTAACGTTTTTCCACCTATCAAAATTTGGTTGCACTATGTTTCTTTTAAAATTTATTTAAAATCATGACCTCAATTCAAAATACAATCATAAAGACTTGAAATGGCTATTAAAATAGGAACTGAAATTGCTCCATCATTCTGCACCAAGTTTAAGACAGACAGATTTGTTAAACTATAAATATTATAACGAACCTCGATAACAGATAGAGCCATACAAGATCCAGCTCGTACGTCTGGTAACATGTCTTCTAAACCTTCAACAAATACAATCATAGCCTGAAAATACACAAACATTATTACTGTTAACACACATAAACAACATGGCCATTATCAATCAACAGAGAAAACATTTGTTACAATTGGGAATCTATATATAGTGTCAGGTAGCTGTTCGAGACTCCTCTCATAAAGCTATCAGTTTCATTTTTATGTGAACAACTTTTTTACAGTGGTGTTTGTGAAAATTTTGAATTCTTTTGAATAAATTGTTCCTTACAGTGAACAAAGTGCCTATCCCCCCCCCCTCCCGAAATGGGGTTTAACGTCCCTTTGACACAAACTAGGTCATTTTGGGACTAACATTTGGTTCAATTTTATTTCAACAATCTGCTTGCACGTAGGGGTCTTAAGCAGTGGTAGAAGACCCACGAGGTTGGACAGACGACCCTACTCCTTGTTACATACAAGCAAGGGAATCGAAAACCACATCACTTGACTCTATGACAAAAATTGTGATTTCATATGCACCGTTAAACCACCCCACCCCCCTGTTAACAATGAACAAATCAACTGAAATAACTCACCTTATCACGTGTTTGTTTATTTTTACTGACTAGTTTAAGGTAAGATGCTGAAATAACAAAGTTAAATAAACCCATTAACACAACCCATCAATACAACCTATGAATACAAACAATTAATACAACCCATCAATACGACCCATTAATACAACCCATCAATATGACCCATTAATACAACCCATCAATACAACTCATTAATACAATTGTGGTATTTATTCATCTATCAAAATGAAATGAAATGAAATGGGGTTTAACGTCCTACTGTTTTGCTCCGAACTGGGCTAATGAAGACGGGCATACGCCATACAGTGTGCTATGAGGGAAATTTTGCCCGGACAGCGGCACTACGGCCTACTCTTGTATCGAATTCCAACTGTCAAGGGATATTTTACGTGCATGCCAATGTGTACACGGGGCCTCGGTTTTTCATCCCATCCGAACGACTAGATAGCTTTCCTTGTCAGCCACTCCGTCCTCCATCCCTGACAAGGGAGAACCACGCCGGAAAATCTGGATGAACTTTCTCGGCCAGGGATCGAACACCCGACCTCCAGGCTAGCAAGCCAACGTCTTACCCACTTAGCCACGTGATCCCCTTATTCATCTATAAATAGAACATCCTCAGCAGAACCACAAATAGTCTAGTTAATGGACTTGTAGGTATTTTCGGTCTTTTTAAAATAAATTATTTTCAGCAATTTTCGAAATTCAAATGGAGAAACAGGCACGATTGAACGTTCATGTATACACAGGACCTCAGGTTTTTTGTACCATCCGATGGACAAGACAAGATGCTGTTCATGTGTGACAAGACAATACCCATATTTCTGAGAAAACAAAACCAGTTTATGTCTTACCTGCAGACTGTTGGATTTCCTTGTTGACGCCGCCACATAGTAGCGACCCAATAACTTTGAGACAAAGAGGGGAAGGTAACTCTTCTCGTTGTGTTAATATTGATTTAATTACGATATCTGGATTACCTGAACATAATCTATCAGTCAACGCAACTAAAATATAAAATAAAATAATCAAATTAAAGTCACTAGTCGTCATTTCAGAAATTTTTTAATCCTGTGCAGACTACAATATTTGAATCTATAGTTTGAATGATCAGTCTTAATTAAAGATGCATTATGTAAGATTTAGATAAAGAGCTGGCTGTTCTCACTATAATATTTCAAAAATAGATAATGCGAAAATTAATATATTGAAAATTTCATTCAAATTACTTTATGCTGAGCGAAGTTATGACTGTTTGAAATTTTGACAAGTTGTAGCATAGATTGTTTATCACCATAGCAATGGTACTTGTTAATCAAGATCAAACGTCGATTCATCATTTTTTTAAATTAAATTATTAAATGGCAATTGTGTTTAAATCTCGATCATCCGATGTTCTAGAGAGTTGATTATATTGTCATGTTAATAAATGTCTAATTATAGTTTATATAATATTTTAAGTCAAAACAAAAACCTGTAATCGGCAAATTCAGGTCTTGAATAATGCATCTTTAAAGTTTCTGATTGTCATGTAATGGATTGAGCAAACTACAATATTGTGAAAGTTGAATCTCTAAAAGCAATATCAGCCCTAAAACTGGTTCAATTCCTTTCAGTATTTATAAAGATATGAATTTAACCTTTGTCAACAGTCACCATCCACTGCAGACAACAGATTGGATCTTTGTCAACAGTCACTATCCACTGCAGACAACTGATAGGATATAGTCAACACAATTTGTCTCAGTTAACTGCTGGTGGATGTGCTCATTAAAATTTTACAATAACAGAAATTTTGTTTCTCAATTTTCTATATTGGTTCAAGACAGGAATAGGATTTAACATCTCACTAACACAATACAAACAGCTATTCTTATTTACTTTGGTCATTTGTGTTATGCCTAGATAGTATTTTCTAACTGTAAAGGGCTTTGTTTAAGTGCACACCAATATGTACAATGGATGAAGCTCGTTTCTACAGCCTGAACAAACAAGTCATGTCTTTGTCAGTCGTATGGGCACTATCCCTACCTCAGTCGAAGCTAGTGTTGAAAATATTCGCAGAAAAATGGTTGATGCAGTTGAAATTTGGTTAGAAACAATACAAATGAAATGAAATGGGGGTTTAACGTCTTACTGTTCAGCTCCTATACTGGGCTAATGAAGACGGGCATTCACCATACAGTGTGCTATGAGGGAAACTTTGCCCGGACAGCGGCACTACGGTCTACTCTTATATCAAATTCCAACTATCACTGGATCTTTTACGTGCATGCTGGACCTTGATTTTTCGTCCCATCCAAATGACTAGCCAGCTGTCCTTGTCAGAAACAATACAATGTCTGTTTATCTTACAATATGAACTAATCAAGTAATTATAACTTACTATCGTGAGTGACATCATCAAGTTTTTGTAATCCACCCGCGGAAGTAAAATAAGACATAAACTGATGTAGAGTAACGATGTGTGATGATTTTAGTTTCTCTGGTTGATACGTTGGTATATCTAAAATCTTCGACATCACATGCCAAAATGCTGGAATAAAACAAAACACAGATTATAAGTTCAGGAGGACAACAACACAAATAAATCAGAGAGAGAGAGAGAGGTGTAACCTCCACTCGACACAAACCATGTCATTTCGGTACTAACACATGGTTCAATTTTATTTCAATAATTTGCTTGCGCGTAGGAGTCTTTAGCAGTGGGAGGGATCAGAAAGACCCGGAGAAAACCCACAAGGTTGGACATGCGACCCTACTAATTGTCACGTACAACCCGGAGAATCGAAACCATGACAGTTGACTCAATGACAGACCTTATGATACAGCGCGCATGTGCTAAGCTATCGGCCATCCACCCCAAACCCCACCCATTGAATCAAAACCACATCACTCGACTCAATGACAGGCCTTATAATCTAAAGCCCCACCTTCCCCCCATTCAAAATTCCAATGTCAAAGGTTCCTTTATGAGCACACAAACATGCATTAGTGACCTCATGGACAGCAGGTTAGCAAGCCAGCGCCTTACTCATTGAGCCATCAAAATAAAGACGTAAACTTATTGTATGTAATTATACCTCTAGTAGGTGATATATTGGCTGCATCTTGTAGACGTTGACCAAACTTCTGTTCCATCATATAAACTAATTTCTCTGGATGTAAAAACAACAAATTCTGATCCACACACATTACCCAGAATTCTTTTATTGATTTGTCGTCTGTTAGTTCCGCCATTACTGAAATCGAATAAAATAACAGTTGATAGAAGTAGAACATGCATGTCAGTAAATGGAAAACATGGTTTGCCAGGCAATAAAACAATACACAATAAAAATTATTAGTAGTAGGAGGAAACCGAAGGATCCGAAAAACCCATGAGATTAATGCTCCAGACAGTGGCGCTCGCCCTACTCTTATACCAAATTCCAACTGCCAAGGGATCTTGTAAGTGCACGCCAATGTGAAAACAGGACTCTGGTTTTTCGTCCCATCCAAACGACTAGAGAGGTGTCTTTGTCATGCTGGAAAATCCTGATGAACTTTACCGGCCAACACTGGTATCGAACCTGCAACCTCCAGGCTATCGAGCCAGTGTCTCACTCACTTAGCCACCGTGGCTCCTACCACGCCACCAGGCTCAATGACAGACATTATGATCTTAAGCGCATGATGTAAACCATTCGGCCACACAATCCCTTGAAACCAATATATGACCTCATTATCAATATAGATGTATAAAAATGATTGAGTGTAGAAACTGGAACTTACTGGGATGAAGGTCAACATTTGGTCCAGCTCTGGCTATTTTTAATAATGCTGCTATAATTCCTGACTGAGTTTTCAACTTGTCCAATGCATAAAACTCCCGACATTTTAGAGGGCCAAAATTACCCAAACTCTGAAAACAAATACCATTGGAAGACATGTAATAGATAAAACAGACAGAACAAACAATACATTATTACAACACAGACAACATGATGTTAGTGATATAACTACATTTAAACATTTAAAATACAAGCCTGCATCATTTGACACATATCTGACTGGGAAGCTGGGCATGTACCATACAATTTATGACAGAAATTTGGCCACGACAGCGGCACTACAGCCTACTCTTGTTTCAATTTCCATCTGCCAAGCAATCTGATTAAAACACAGATCATCTTTCATTTCATTTTTTTTATAGTTCAAAATTTTGTTTTACTTGTCTTTACTACACTAGGATCTGGAAGAGTTGTTATATAACACGCGTTCTGGATGATGTGAGGGATTAACCAATGAAACGGTCTGTTACAGAGATTTTTTGGTGTGAGGGGCACAGAAATGTGAGTAAACCACTAGAAACGCCAACGCTGATTGATTAATCAATATCTGACACCATAGGGTCAAAAGCCACTCATATGACCTTTGATGCAACCTATCACTACAACCAATCAAATCTTCATGTAGTGTAGGCCATCAAAAGTATAAAAAAAACCAAAACAAAATATAGATCTGTATTTTAATTAGATTGCCTGCCAAGGTATCTTTGGTGTATGCTTCTACCTAGGATGATATTGAACTCTGGGGTTATGACATGCAGGTGCAGTCTGGTCATCCTAGCTGCGATCTATTAGAGTCTGACAGTAGGACGTCAAGTCCTCCCACCAATCTAACACTTCTTTAGAACTATATTTTCACAGGGCTAGGAATTGTCTTGCCACAATCCTCCACCCACAAATATACCGTCACTTCCAAACCAACCAGATATCTATGCCTATGACTCTTCCCCCGGGATGTAGAGCCTTAAGCTTGTTGCACTATCTTGTTTTCTGTCCACTCCACAAATAATGAGTTAAGCCTAATAGGTCAAGGATCAAAAGGTCAAAAGGTTAAAGAAATCTTACCTCTAATAATCTATCACAGTAGTTAAGATGAAACAAGAGGGCGTGGTCCACCTGTTCATTACCAGTAGATGGTGGCACTGGACTAGACCCAAGACTTGATCCAAGTTGCGTATCTTCACTCAATCGTTTTGCAAGGGACTCGATACCAGAATCTCCAGTTTTTGCCGTAGATTCGGGACTAACTAATATATTATCAATACTTGATGTACGACTTTCTCTGTGGATTAGAAATATTTACATATATACAGAGAGAAATGGGGTTTAACGTCCACTCGACACAAACTAGGTCATTTTTGGACTAACACATCGTTCAATTTTATTTCTATAATTCTCATGCACGTAGGGGTCTTTAGCAGTGGGTGGAAACCGGAGGACCCAGAGAAAACCCACAAGGTTGGACAGGCTACCCTACTCCTTGTCACATACAACCGGGGAATCGAAACCACGCCTGTTGACTCAATGACAGACTTTATGATATAGTGCACACTTACTAACCATTCAGCCATCCAACCCCCCATTCAGAAAATAAGTAACTTACTCAGGTGAGTGGTCTAAATCTTCGACCGATTCTTCTGTGTTTAGAAAGTCGAAAGCTTCGAGAGCACTTTCTATTGATACACTAATACTGGAAGATCTAGAACTACATCGGGATCGTTTCTAATAATATAAAAACATTTAAAAACATTAAAAAACACATCTGAATATAACCGTTTTATCCAATCTGATTAAAACACAGATCCTATTTCGTTTTGTTTTTATAGTTCAAAATTTCGTTTTATTTGTCTTTACTACACTAGGATCTGGAAGAGTTGTCAATGAAACAGTCTGATACGGCGAGATTTAGACTTGAGGTGAACAGAACTGTGGGTAACCCACTAGAAACATCAACGGTGATTGGTTAATCAAATGACTGACATCATAGGGTCAAAAGGCGCTGGTATGACCTTCCACTACAACCAGTTACATCTTCGTGTAGTAGAGGCCATCGAAAGTATAAAAAAAAACGTAACGAAATATAGATCTGTATTTTAATCAGGTTGGGTTTTATCTGACTTAATATCAGGCACTACTGAACAGGTATGTGATATTTTGAACTTTGTGACGGACATTTGTTAACACAGTTATTATGTCCCTAAGCTTCGACCAATCAAATTGAGTATCCACTCTTAGTCTGAGGAATTCACCCAATAATAATTGTATTTATGTAATGAAACTATACACCAAGTTTTATCATTCTGCCTGAATTTGTGCCTATTCCCAGGTTTAATAAAGATAGGTTGCCCAGCAACAAAACATACGCCCACAGCAGCTAAATCGTCTGGGGATTCAACAAGTGTTGTCGCATATTTTTACTTTTTTCGGTAATGAAACATTTATAATACACTAAAATCTGATTAAGAGTAACAACTCATTAAGTAATTATCACAAAACCATTAGAATTTGTTTGGTTTTTATAAAGTTCTGTCCCATGCTAATGTTTAGTATACGAAACTTTTAATATCATGGATTTAGCTGTTCAAGTCATAAAAATTGTTTGTCTCAAGATCTTAAACTCTGTGTATCAATCTGAAGTCAATCAGATGACAACTTTGGCCTCTAGAGCGTCCAAAAGATTTTTTGAAGTGATCAAGGGCCATATCATTTTGATATCTTCACAGAAATCTACTTCATTCATCTCTCAAATTTCACTAATATTAGTTTACTATATAATAACTGCATGGGGCTCATTTTATAGTAAACTAAAATAAGCAATGAGACTTTAAAGTCAACACTTTTATTTATGTTGCTAGTTTCGCTAATATTAGTTTACTATATAATAACAGCATGGGGCTCATTTTATAGTAAACTAAAATAAAGCAATGAGACTTTAATGTCAACACTTTTATTTATTTATGTCATTTGATCCTGAGACTAACATGTGGTAATTTTTATGTCACATTACTAAAGCTCACACCAATTACTGATTCATATATTGTATAAAGCTGAGAAATCCATAGGGACTTCTCGGTCAACACCGGGATCGAACTCCGGACATCCTGGTTAGTGAGCCAGCATCTTACTCATCGAGCCCCCGCGGCTCATCAGAAAAAAGAACAAAAACCCCAGTCAAGATTAATAATATGCTTACTCTTAGAAACTGTTCTAAAGATACAACCACTTCTTCCAAGTATTGTAACTCTGGATATTGTCCGAGAAAATCTTCCATGGAAGTCGTTAAATTAACTAAAGCTTCTTCCACATGCGTCGGTTCATCACGAGTCACTAAAGTCTGTGAGAAAACACCCGGGAAACGTGTCTGTGGAACTATAGGGGGAGACAGCGCTCCACTACCTAGCACAGTCTGTGAAATAAGGGAACTATGGGATTCATCTGAACTTGAATAAACCGTGTTTTCTTTCACTCGTAATAACGGGGAGTGATACGAGGGGGAATCGTAGCCTCCACGAACTACAGGAAGTGATGTTGATGACCCGAACACAGAAAAATCTTCTTTTGATCTCAACATATGTATTGGACTTGAGTATCGTCTCTCGTGGCCTAAATCAGAATAACTATTTGACTGAAAAATACAAAAAAAACAAACAAATATTAGATTGAGATTTATAAACGAAATATTTCAAAATTCAAAATGCACAAGACTAATTTCCTTATTCTCGGGGTCTTATTTGTGAAAACTTAAAACTGAAATATTTTAGTATTGGCTAGTTACTAAAATCACAGCACAAGAGTACGCCCTACTCTTATATTGAATTCCACCTGCCAATGAATCTTTTACGTGCACCCCAATGTATATATGGGATCTCTGTCCTTCACCACTGACAAGAGGAAACCACGCCGAAAAATCACGATGGACTTTCACAGCCAACACCGGGATCAAACCCACGACCCCAGGCTAGCGAGCCAGCGTCTTACTCACTTATCCAATGTGGCTCCCTAGAAATGACGAAACTATCCTGGTTCACTCTATTGATAACAATGAACATCTGTTTGTTGTGACCATGTGATATATGATTTTTTTAAGTTTTCCTCATCAGCCCAGCACGTTATGCCCCTGGCAGGTGCCCTTACTGTTTGACAACCCTCTCCCCCTGATACTTACATACTGTCCGTTTAATGCTACAACAGATACTGGGCGTCGACGAGGTGTTGTAGCTGATCGGGTTGGTGCTTCAAAAAAGGTTATACTTTCATCCATACCTTCCAAAGGACTGAAACAAAATTTAACATCGAAATGAAATTTAACAGGACAACTGATCTATAGAGTATAGAAAATACAAACACAACAATAAAGGAATCGAATGGAATTCAACTTCTCTTCAACTAAATGCTTCAGTTATTTCAAGACTAATATAGTTGTTTTCTAAATTTGCATTTGCAATGCCAGAGAGGAGAACTTTGCCCAGATAGTGGTATTTTTACAAACTTTTCATATATTTCCAATTGTTTTGTTTTTTGGATGCTTTTCATGTACACCACTGATATTTTTCATGCTATCCAATCCTGTATACAGGACCTCAGTTTTTCGTCCTATGCGAACAACTATACATTGTCCCTTACCAGGCCCCCGGTCCTATAAATAATATAAAGATAGACTTACTTCCATGTGATAACAATGCTGAGTTTAAGAGAACCGTTAAAGTTGATACTAATGGTCATTAACTGTGGATTAGCCGAGAATAAATCTTTCACCTCACAATTCTTCTGGCCTAATAAAACACTTTTAAAACTACGTGATTCCAGGGCCTACAGATAGAAAATGAAATTTTAAATGAATAAATTTATGGTCATTACGATGTAGGATACGTGCTAAATCTGAATAACAGAATTTATGAAAGAAATGAGGGTTTAACGTCCTACTTTTCTGAAGGCCATACAGTGTGCTATGAGGGAAATTTTGCCTGGACAACAATGGAATTCCAACTGTGTACACAGGACTTCTGTTTTCATCCCATCCAATGTGTAAACAGGACCTCTGTTTTCATCCCATCCAACTGTGTACACAGGTCCTCTGTTTTCATCCCATCCAATGTGTACACAGGTCCTCTGTTTTCATCCCATCCAAATGACTAGACACTGCTGAATAACAGAAATCTCCACGCCCTGTCAATCTGCATTTACTCCCCATAGCCAAATGATCTCCTGCCTATTAATATGATTCTAATATAAACTACTGAAATTCATCATGAGAATACCAACAATTTCATACTGAATATTATCCACATGGATCTCTTGTAGATAGATCCCTTTGACTTTACAAATAGCCAAAACTTTTACATGGACACTTCAGGTTAGGTAACTCTTTATACGACTTGATCCAAATAAAGAAATATGTTTATTAATAAAAAAAACTTACTTTAATGCTGAGTACATCACCGACTAATGCTTTAAAGGTAAATTCGGGCATGTCCCATTTCTGGGTATTATTTTTCTCAATACGTCCTTTTGTCTTCCATTTTTGGGGTCCATGGCGTATTGTCACTTCAAATACATCTCCCGGACATAATCTCGCAAAACCAGCCATACCTAGATTCAAACAAAAACAAAACAATTTTAGTTTAAATATTCAAAAGTAATAATAAAGAACTCTAGATTTTAAAAAAAAAAGAAATTTGTGCATCCGAGTGTGTGCATGGATGGACATTGGATTTTAGTCCCATCCGAACAACTAGGCAAATCTCAAGGTTCTTCTCGGCCCCACACAGTCCTATGTCAATAAATCTTAAACTTACATATTTTAAAAATGTGGCCTTTTCATTGGCTCAAAGAAAACGCCGGAAAATCCTGATGAACTCGCTCGATCAACACAGGGATGGAACACAGGAATTTCAGGTTATTGAGTTAATGTCTTATCCATCGAATCAGTCAAACAATGAAAATGGTGCATCTACTCAGGGATCGAACACAGGACTTTCAGGTTAGTGAGCCAACATCTTACTCACTGAGCCAGTCAAACAATGAACATGGTGCATCTACTCTGGGATGGAACACAAGACGACCTCCAAGTTAGTGAGATAATGTCTTATCACTGAACCAGTCAACCAACGAAAACCGAAATGAAATGAAATGAAATGGGGTTTAATGTCCTACTGTTCTGCTCCTATACTGGGCTAATGAAGACGGGCATACGCCATACAGTGTGCTATGAGGGAAATTTTGCCCAGGCAGCGGCACTATCGCCTACTCTTATATCGAATTCCAACTGCCAAGGGATCTTTTACGTGCATTCCAATGTATACACGGGACCTCGGTTTTTCGTCTCATCTGAAGGACTAGACAGCTGTCCTTGTCAGGCCCTCCGTTCTGCACCACTGACAAGGGGAAACCACGTCGGAAAATCACCAACGAAAACCCTGCATACTTAAAGTACTCTAGTTTAAGTTTAAATGAATCTATGACATTCAAACAATGAAAACTATGGAACAGGAGGAAAGATGTATTATTTACCTTTTAATTTACAATGGAATGTGCCTAACATATTCTCTAGCTGAGCTTCTATAGCACATAATGTCTGAAAATATAAACAAAATAATGTTTACACCTGTTGTACATCAGGTCACAAAGCTTTTAAACAAAATGGACGTCAACGCATCGATTTGAAAAGTGTAATTTTTAAATATAATAACAATTACGAACATTATCCATGGTCTTTTATGTGGCCTACTATTCTCTTAGTACATTCTGATTGTCATTTGTGAGATTTAGCACCTGTTGAAATTAATTAAATATCAGTTCTGTACTTATAAAGATGTGACGAACTGAATATTTTACAATACGAAATGAAATGGGGTTTAACGTCCAACTGTTCTGCTTCGACTGAGCTATTGAAGATGGGAATATGCCATACAATGTGCTATGAGGGAAATTCTGCCCGGATAGCGGTACTAAAAAGTTTACTCTTATATCGAATTTCAACTGTCAAGGGATCTTTTACGTGCATGCCAATGTGTACACGTTTCATAAAACATTCAGAGAGATAGATAAACACAAATAATAATTAAACCAACCTGTGAGCATTCTTTATAGCCGTATTTAACATTAGTTATAGAATCTTTACGGTGTCCAGGTGATGTGGTGAAAGCTCTCGCCATCGTACGAGCACCTGAAGTCAGAAAAACAGAATTATTAATATTTACATTTATTCTTGAGAATCACAATGTGGTTTAACGATGTACACATTACTTTATCAAGTGGACGAATTAAGACAGGCATATGCCATACAGTGAGTTATTAGGGACATTTTGCCCAGACAGCGGCTCTCCAATTTACTTTTATTGCAAACTACAATAGTTATAAAGACATGATAAACATTGTCATCCACTGCAGTCAATATATAGTCAAAACAAGTCAGTTGATATATAGGATAGGGTCAAAACAAGTCAGTTGATATAGAAGATATAGTCAAAACAAGTCAGTTGATATAGAAGATATAGTCAAAACAAGTCAGAGCCACTTATGACAACTTTCACTGAAATCTTTTGAAGGGCCTCTTTATTGTCCGATTTAAACCAAGTCAGGAGATCATCTACCGTTGTTATATTTATTTTATGTTCTTAATTAAATAATCAATCTGAGTACATATTTAGCATGGATTAAACCATGAAAATTATTATATTTTCCACATGACAATAAGTAAGACATTCAAGTAGGGAGCACATGTTAATGTCTCACTATGTTCCAAATGAGGCCGGTCCAATTAATTATTTAGTATGGATTAAAGCATGAAATTTTTTTATTTTTTCCAAATGACGACAGTCAAGTAAGGAGCACATGTTAATATCTCACCATGCTTCAAACGAGGCCAGACCAATTAATTATTTAGCATGGATTAAACCATGAAAATCGTTATATTTTCCAAATAATGATAAGTAAGACATGTACAGTCAAGTAGGGAGCACATGTTAATATCTCACCATGTTCCAAACGAGGCCGGACCAATTAATTATTTAGCATGGATTAAACCATGAAAATTTTTGATATTTTCCACATGACAATCAGTAAGACAAGTACAGTCAAGTGGGTAGCGAATGTTAATGTCTCACCATGTGCCGAACGAGGCCGGACCAATTAATTATTTGTAGTAAATCTATACATGTTTGTCTGAAGAGTGTAAATAAGTTTTCACAAGCTTTGTATTTGATTTGGAGATAAAGTTAACATTTAATTCATTCTTTGAGTCCAATTAACTGACGATATATAGGTCACCGGGGCAACAAGAGTTACCTGTCAATATTTATCTTCAAGTAGATGAACAAATTACACCAAGATAAAAAAAACCCACCTGGAGTCTTAATTCGTATTGTAGATTTATTTTATCTTAAGATACATTATGTATGATTTAGATAAATAGCTGGTCATTCTTGTTATAATAGTTTAAAAATAGATAATAAAAAATGAATATATTGAAAATTTCAGTCAAATTACTTTAATCCATGCGATGTTGGGAGAGTTTGGTAATTGATAATCAAGACTATCTACTATCTCGTTAATAATATATAATACTAAATGAATATATTGAAAATTTCAGTCAAATTACTTTAATCTGTGAGAAGTTAGGAGTATTGTCTACTTGATAATCAAGACTATAGACTTTCTCGAAAAAAATGTTAAATGTCTACCATGTTCTTATCTACTTCAAATTAGAGCAATCTGATGGCTCAGAGGGTTGATTATAGGCTTGTCATGTTAGTAAATGTTTAAATAATATTTAATAATATTTAAAGCCAGAATAAAGACATGGAATAGACAGATTTAGTGCTTACATGATGCATCTTTAATCGAGAAGTCAGAACTCAACCAAGTCAACCATGACACTAGGCTCTTTATTTTAAATATATTGACTAAAGAATGTGAGAAATTATTCATTAGGGTCATAAAGACTAAAACAAGGCATTTTTATTCATGAAGGTTGGGGGGAAGGGAGAAGTTGGTGTAGGAGAATTTAGCCAAGGCACTTACCTTCTCGTAGTTGTTGATGAACCAAATAACAATCATATAACTCATCAACCTGTTAATAAAAGAATTAAGATTTCAATTAAATAAACAGTTTCTACTAGATAGAAATCAATCAGGTATCTCCAGTTCCTGTGCCCAGGTCTTGGCTACTAAGACTAACAATGCTCACAATGTCAACCGCTATTTCTGCCAATTCCAATAAAAATATAGTTTTTCGACGGTACATTTTTTCTTGGGATGATTCTATTTTGCTGTGGTGATGGGGTTTGGGGGGGGGGGGGTTCACAAAATGTTTTCTAAGCTTTGTTTATTTTTCATGTCATCCATGTGTTTCAATCCATGCTCAGTCAATCGTCACATAATTAGGTATCTATCATATATTAACCTTTTTTCTATTAGTGTTTAATGTCTGCTTCCACCAACGGAGATATCGTACACAAACTTTCTTATTTTTATTATCTTAGCACACATGTGGGGGGTCTTTCCTATTGTTGAGAAGGCCCCCCCTGTCTCCAAGCCACACCAGGGATCAAAACCACGACCACAAGCCAGAGATAACCGACCACCTAGAGCTCGAAGTGCAGCACTCTAGACCACTAGGCCTAGACCACTAGGCCATCCCAAACCCTCTATATTAATTAATATGGGATTAGTATTTATAGCGAGAGTGGTATTAAATGGGTATTGCTGAATTGAGAAAAGGTGTAATAGTTGAGATACGATTACGTCTGGAATGATTCCCCGTCGGCAGTGCTGGGGTTTTCTATGATTACGTCTGGAGTGATTCCCCATCGGCAGTGCTAGGGTCTTCTAACAATCAATCTCTCATTTATCAACGCAATTTATTGTTTCGTTCAAATCATCTACTCACCTTAGCTAAATGGAATTCTAATTTCTTTAAATATCGTTCGGCTGATTTAATTTGCTGAAAAATAAGCAAAAAGAGAAATTAGATAGATTAAAATTTGTCTGAAGATAAATTTAACTTTAAAATAATCATGATATACAAAGAAAAGATAAAAAGAATTCCAGAAGAGAACAAACTCAAAATAACCAACTAAATAACTAAATCGACCAATAACGTTAAAACTATCCTGAGATCAACTGAAACATTAGGTAAAATGTTCAATCACTATAGGTAGGAAATAAAATGGGGTTTAACATCCTACGTTTCTGCACCAACCAGGCTAATGAAGGCAGACCAAGTCCATGCAGTGAGCTATCACATAAATTTTCCTGGACACTTCTCCAAATTCCTACTGCCAAGGGATCTTTGAAATGCCCACATATGAGAAACTTTCCTACCAACAACAGGATTGAACCTCCGACATCCTGGTTAATGAGCAAACACATAACTCACTGAGCCATCAAGGCTTCCATCCTTCAAAGTCTATTAATTGATGCACAATTGCCCAAACTCAAATTGGAAGATAAGATGAAGAACAAGAAGATTACCATGGAAACATATCCTGTTTCAAAAATATGACTGGCCGAGAAATGACCTAAGGGAGGTAAGAACTGACTGGGTTAACAGAAATTAAATTTAAATCATTTTTCTGGAAATTAATAATTTCCTGATAACATTTCAAAAGAAATTTATCTGCATTAGTACAAATTAACATGCATTTTAGTTACAACACAAATAAAGGTTGCAAGATAATAAAATAATTCTTAAAAAAATCAAACATTCACCTAATTATAATCTTTTAAAAAATTAATCTAAAACATTAAAGGCAATTAACTAAAGCAAATGAGAGAAATGGCATTTAATGTCCTCTAGACACAAACTAGGCCATTTTGGGACTAACATATGGTTCAGTTTTATTTCAATAAATCGCTTGCACATAGGGGTCCTTTGCAGTGGGAGGAAACTGGAAGACCCAGAGAAAACTCATGAGGTTGGACAGGCACCCCTTCTCCTTGTAATGTACAACCGGGGAATCGAAACAACGCCACTTGGACTAGAACAGGTTTTAATATTTGATCAACATAATACTTTAGTTATTTTAACACAAGCAACTAGATATTATTTTATTGGTCAGCCAGACAGGCGTAAAGTTCATGCAAGGGTAAGAATATTTTTCTTTTTTAGAAAAAATTTCTATGGTATAAAAAAAAAACAAGGGCCATAACTCTGAGAGTTATTATTGGAATCATAAATAAATATACATCTTCTGCTCAAGAACTTAAGCACAGAGTGTAAATGTCCAGTTAATCTGATAATAAGTTAAGCCTTTAGAGAGTCCGCAAAATTTCTGAGAAATCATGGAAAATCCATAGGATTCTTCATCTCTTTTTTTCTTATAAACAAAACTTCGTTCAGATTAGTAGCTGAAAAAGGATTGGGAAAAAAACATAGCCTGTATTAAACCCTCTCGTCTCTTAAACATAAACATTGTGTATAAATTTAGCCTCTAAACTACGGACAAACGAATGGGTGTGACAACAATAGACTACAACATTTCAATGTAGCCATACAAAAATAATGGAAAGAACACAAATGTAAGGCAAGTCTCCTTGCAAGTACCATGCAAAATATTTATAAAGCTTCAACTACATAAAGAACAAAACATAGTCCCTGCTTTCTACAAAATAACCTTATTTCCATGCTGACCAAACATTTAACAATTTTATGCTGGGCTAACCATTTCGTTGATCACATCAAAAGGTACGAGATAGAAAAATATCAACCATTACATGAATTCTGTAATCTACATGGTTTGTTCAATCAGGAAAGGTGACAGTCTGAATTATCGCTTTGTGACTGAATGAAACAGTATATTGACTACTCCCAAAATTCCAACTGCCAATGGATCTTTCCCGTGCATACCAATGTGGATAAGGGACCTGCACCACCAACAAGGGAAAACGTTTGACCAATCATTAAAGATGCATTATGTAAGAGCTAAATCTGACTATTGCAGGTTCTTATTTTGGCTTCAAATGTTATATAAACATTTTATCAAGATATTTATTCACATGTTATATAAATTATTAGTTTGACATTTATTTATTCACATGACTTGTCTATAATCAACTCTCAAGCATCGGATGGCAGAGATTAAAACGGATTAAAACACAATTGCCATTTAATGATTTAATTTAAAAATGGCAAAACGAGGCTAAGTCTGGAATAAGAAATACCGCTGTTATGATAATATATGCCACATCTTATCAAAACTTTGCTCAGAATAAAGTAATTTAAATAAAATTTCCAATTTATTCATTTTGCATTATCTATATTTGAACTGTTATAGCAATAAAGACAAGCTCCTTATCAAAATCTTACATAATGCATTTTTAACCCAATCTTTAGGCCAAACGTTAGGCCAAACATTAGACCGATCGTTAGGTCTATAGTTGGACCAATCGTTAGATCAATTGTTGAACGAATCGTTCCTCCAATTGTTAAACCAATCGTTAAACCTATCGTTAAACCTATCGTTAGGTCTATCGTTAGGCTTATCGTTAGGCTAATTGTTAGATCAATGTTAGGCCTATCAGGCACCCAACTCCTAACTGAACAAAACCATTAAACATATTGACCAAACCAAAAAGCACAAATTATCACAATTAATATCAAAACAACATGGAGTCTTATCTTTATTTAATAAAACTTCTAAAAACAACAATGGTGTTTAGAAGTGAAGAAATAAACTGCCAGTTTTATCTGATATTAATTGTTAACCTTTTAGCACTAGGTACATGTAAATACTGACAACTCCAGCTTCCCTTAAATAAATTGGAGGAAATAGGTTACTTTTATAATCGTGTAAAGGGTATTTTACCAGAGGGAGGGGGAACCAGAGAACAGAGAAAAACTCCACAAAGTTGAACAGGCAACCCTATTCCTTGTCATGTATAAGTTGGGAATCGGAACCACTCCACTTGATTTAATGACAGACCTTATGATCTAAAGCTATATGTTAAGACCATTCAGATTCCACCACCTCCCAGCAATTTGAGTGACACAGGTGATTTGAGATGTTGAGGGAAGGAGTAGTTTATAGCGGTTTCACGCAATCCCAGTGCTAAAAGGTCAATAATGCAAATAAAAAATCAAAACACCTAAAAAAATATAAGATAAATAGTAAAAGTTAGTAGAATGGAGAACAATACAACACGATTCCAGTCTAAATATACAATATACCTTCTCTATTTCATGTAGTTTCCCCTAGCAACAGATAAATATAATATATTAATGACTATATAACCAACGCAGTTGTCAGGTGATGGAAATGAAATGGAGTTTAACGTCCTACTGTTCTGCTCCGAACTGGACTAATACGTTGTTACCTAACGATCAAGAGGTTCAAATAGATCCTAATAATAAATGGTTGTAAGGTCATACAAAAAAAATATTTCTTGTTCTTAGACAATCCTTAAAATAAATCTAATGCAGGAGGGGGTTCCTGAATTTTCAAAGCTAATGCAGGGATCGAACAGGCTAGTTAACCACCATGCCTCCTGGGTATCTGAGAACCATAATTATTTTTTTGTATGAACAATTATGTATTATTTTGCAAGAAACAGGTGTTTTCAGATTTGTAAAAAAAAAAAAACTTCCAGCATTCCTATCACAAATATTTTCAAGTAAAGAATACAAGTTTTTACCTGGGAGGCTGTGGAATCGTTTGTCTGTAAATGTAGCATATCTTCTTTTGTTGCGTGAATAAATTCCCTGAAAATCAAAATAATGTTTATTTTATTTGGAATGATATACATGACAAAATATAAGTGACCAAGCAATGAAACATACAACCCATGGCAGCTAAATTGTCCGAAAAGTTTAGAAATCGAGTGTGAAAACCAGGGGCCTGTTTCATGAAATTTTAACTAAGATAAAATCCATATTCTAGTAATTTGATTGGATAATATTAGATTGATTTTAGTGCTTAGCCAATCAAAATTGAAGTATCTACTAAAATTTAGATTTTATCTTTAGTTAAGATTTCGAGAAACAGGGCCCTGGCTGTTTAGTCACTATAATTAACATTATGTGAATGCTTTAATGAGCCTAGAGCATCCCCAAGTGGGATGAATTGGTGAGCAATATAAATATTGCTATTCTTATTATTTATTATGTATTTCTATTCTTTTATAGGTACAAGACACTACACTCTGATCAAGGGCAACAACTCATGAATTAATTATCAGAAATAATAAAAATTTGAAAACTTTTTTCTTGCACTAACATGAACAGATGACAACTTTTGCGGTTTTGGGTTAAGATCGTGGTAATGCTTGCTTGTTTTTACCATAGCATTTGCAAAGAATACTGAATATTGCAAAAATTTCAATTCATCATACTGAACTTAATAAACTAAACAAATCTCTGATTAATTTAACTCTGCATGGAATTCACAATACCTCAAATGATTTTAATTCAGTAAATGGAATTGAAATAGGGTTTAATGACCTACTGTTCTGCTCCGACTGGCTAATAAAGACGGGCATACGCCACACAGTGTGCTACGATGGAATTTTGCAAGGACAGCGGCACTACAGCCTACTCTGATATCAAATTCCATCTGCCAAGGGATCTTTTTCATGCACGGCAATGTGTACATGGGACCTCAGTTTTTCTTCCCATCCAAATGACTAGACAGCTGTCCTTGTCAGGCTGTCCGTCCTGCATCACTGACAAGGGGGAACCACGCTGGAAAATCTGGGTTCACTTTCTCGGCCAATGCAAGGATCAAACCTGTGACCTCCAGGTTAGCGAGCGAGCGTCTTATTCACTTAGCCACTGTGGCTCCCTTGTAAATTATGAAGCCTGGCATGAAGCCACCTGTCTCATACATTGACAGACATAACTTCTTTGGTGCCTGTTATTTTATCTGTCATGGATTTGTCTTTAATTACATGTGAGGCACAAGGTTCAAATTGGCAGGTACTAGTTCAGTAGAGTCGGTCATTTATCAATTAAACTTATTATTTCTAGGTCTGTAATTTATACAATAAAAGCATTCAATTGACTATTTTAAAAGAATTTCATTCTATTTCTTAAAGTATCGTACTTGAAAGATAGTATGTCCGTTTGACCTTTAAGGGTCGAAATCAGCTGAGTATAACTATTGACAATGTCATGTATTCGATCTTTCCTCGAGTTAACGAAGCGATTAAACATCACGTCTGTGATACAATCTTAAACAAACGACGAGAAAAACTTTGCAAAACATCACGGAATTACCGGAAAATCTTAAACACTTACTAAGACTGTGTCTAAATCAATATTTGCTCACCATTACGAAGGGCATTTTTTACATTTTTTTTCCTCCCAAAAATTGAAACAATTCTAACTGTTGTAGTTATTTTACCAAAAGAAATATGGTGAATTTGTTTTAAAGGCTAAAACAGTTGTTGTTTCAGATAGTTGTAAAGCCTTCACAAACACGGACAAAAAAAAACTTGTTATAAAGTTTTGACAGTTCTGCAACCATTGTTGTCTCCATTGGAAGCCGTGGTGACTCAGTGAGTAAGAAATTGTCTCACTAACAGAGAAAGAGAGAGAGAGAGAGAGAGACAGAGAGAGAGAGGATGGGGTTTAACATGCACTCGATCAACATAAACCAGGTCATTTCGGGACTAATATAAGGCTCAATGGACAGACGACCTTACTCCTTGTCGGGGACAAGCGGTGAATCAAAACCTCGCCACACTTGACTCACAACCATTCGACCACCCAGCTCCCGCATACTGATTTGCTCAAAAGACAAGGTTTTAATGACCTTGAGAAAAAAAACTACTGACCCAACCTCCATTTGTGTTCAATAATAACCGATAGTGGACAGCTTATTGACGGCAATAGCTAACTAGTTGTTTGTTTGTTTGTCGCACGGCCGAGAAAAAGGGATTTAAGTGTGGGGATTAAAGACGTATTTGTTTTATTTAAAATACCGGACTGTTGTGAGATTAACATAAAATACGAATATCCTAACTATTAGTTGTTCCATGGCCAAATTTTCTACTTGTAACTCAGCAGACGGAAAGAATGGTCTTAAAGTCAGGATGTAAACACAACCAGCGTTGGATCTCCGCACTCTTTTTATTTTGTATTGTTTTGTCTTAAAGTTGGAGATCGCCAATTACATTTGTCAGACAAATATCTCACTTAATCCACGGTAACATGTGCTAAAATGGATTGTTGAAGATTTAATTAAGAAAAAAGAAAATAAAAAAAAATCAATGGTGTATAATCTCCTAGCTTGGAATCAATCAAATTAAAAAGTTGGCAGTGATATTAGTTGACTATATCCTACATATGTCTGTAGTGGATGAAGATTGTTGCCAAATTTTCAATTGATATAATGCAGTTTGTAAGGAGAGAGAGAGAGAGAGAGAGAGAGACAGACAGAGAGAGAGAGGTGGGCAAGCCAGGGTCTTACCCACATAGCCACCGTGATCCCCTCCTAGTTTGTAAGGGACTTACAATAATGCAATCCATCAAGAGACATTTTTGTCTCCCTATATCTTGCAGTCAAGACTCAAGCGTACTCCAGCAAACCTTACTGCTTCTGCAGCAGAACACATTAAACTAATGACTATATTATAGCCTACTTACCCAAGTCCCTTTTTGACACTCTCAAATATAAGAAGGGCTCGATTAGGTCGTGGTACTTTCGGCACTTTGGGAGATTTACGGAAGCTGATCCCGGCATTACGTGACGCATGCTGGGGATGGGTGTAGACACGTGGTGTACGTTTTATCGTGTCACCGAGGACAGGCGTCGAAGATGACGATGACGACTTGCTTGACATTCCGCCAAATGACTGACTTCTGGTTACGCATACAGGACCACGACCACGGCCTTCTTTAAGTGACATGTTATCATGACTGTTATCGTGTTCCAGGATTCGAGTCATCGAGGAGGTCGAATCTGAAAATACAAAAAAAAAATTGTTTTGAGAATAATTACATTGCCAAGACAAGCCCATATTCCTGAAGCAATGGCCCGAGAAATCCCTCTCTGGTCATTGCTGGATTGGCTTCTGATACTTGAGCGTTTGAGGGAGTGTGTCTATTCTTCCCGTTCAATCAAATATATCCCAAGTACAGCAACATGACAGTCCGTTTAATCTGGGGTCTTTCCTAAAACTTTGGACAGTGATTTAAGGTGTTAAAAACGGTGAAAGTATTCTTCATCTCCATACAGTATTGTTTACATTGTTTTCGATTTGATAGTCTTGTTTGTCATGCAATTAGTTTTTCTGCAATATTCTGCTATGCACTGGTTAATTGGGCATAATAAAATCATGAGTCATGACGTAACTTTATGTAAACATATTTGGTCCAATTTGGAGCTCTGTTTTAAGCGTAATGCTTTTGTAACGCAGTTAGCTATTTGGTTGTTAATCGGACCATTGACCAGTCATAATTTGGAACAGAAATATGCCTTCATTAAAGCAGTGTTTAGTGGGATTAGGTATAATCAAACGAAACACTGCGAGGAGTATGAGACAACCCTGGAAATAAGGCACCTGTCACAGACACTGTCAGGCACGAATGTTAGTTTTGTCAGGTACAACCTCTCTTCTGCCAGTCATTCTGTCTGGCATAGATTTGTTATTTTTCAGTGTTTTTATTGATATTATTAAAAACAACATTATGTAAGATTTAGATAAAGAGCTGACCATTCTTGCCATAATAGCTCAAATATAGATAATGCAAAATGAAAATATTGAATATTTCATTCAAATTACACTATTCTGATCCAAGTTATCACTGTTTGTAATTTTGACACCATGTGTACATTGTGGTAACTAGGGCACTGGTATAATCAAGATTAAGTCTTGCTTGCCCATTTTTAAAAGGCGAACCGTTCTAATCTAGTTAAAATCTTGAGTATCCCATTATGGTCTTGTTTTGTTTATAAATGTCTAATTAATAATTTATATAACATTTAAGACCTAAAGAAAGACCTGCAATAGACAGATTTAGTTCTTACATAATGCCTGTTTAAATACACTTCTGACACAAAATTCAGATTGTTTGGTACAAATAATTTCTAGCACATCCTTTTCGTTAAAAAAAAAGAGGGTGTAATCACCACCCCTGAAGTTATTAAGATGTTGAGATCAGTTTGTCAACCAAACTTAAAGATACATTATGTAAGATTTAGATAAAGAGCTAGCCATTCTTGCTATAATAGTTCAAAAATAGATAATGTAAAATGAATAATTTGAAAATTTCATTCATTTTACTCTATTAGCATTTGAAGGTTTGACAAGACGTGTGCAATAATTTCAACCATTGTACTGGTTGTTCGAAGCTAAGTCTCGCTCCTCCATTTTTAGCTTAAATCAAAATATGGCTGAACTGTTCTAATCTATTTAATATTGGAGAAATATGATGCCATCGACAGTTGATTATGGCCTGGATAAGTTAATGTCTAATTAAGAATTTAGAAGACATTTCAGGCCTAAAGAAAGACCCTGCAATCGGCAGATTTAGCTCTTGCATAATGTATGTTTAATAAATGAGCTAATCGTAAAGTATTGAGTTGGGTTGATAAATATCGATTTGAAAGATTAATAATTTCTAGAAATCTGAAAATGCATCAAAATCAAAAATTCATCAATTCAATCTGAAAATCAGCATTCAATTAGTCATTTAGCAGTATATCAGATTTTTTATCGAAAATTACCTTTTTCTTTATCTTTTTCTTTCGATTTAAATAACGACGACATAATATTCAAATTTCTGGTGAATTCTATTAACCCCATATTCAATGATATTCAAAGAAACTGCTGAATAATCCAGGAAATTAAACTATTTGATTCAAAACGACTTATAATTCACTTCTTTGTCACCTTTAACAGTATTCTATCTTCCCAGAGAAAAACGATTGAAATTCAATCAAAGTATAACTAAGGCAGTCTAATAATGTATCAAATTCCTCATTTATATTACACTTTTCATGAAATGAGAATACGCTCCAATTAATAATAACAAAAACTGTAATACAATAATAGAAATTTTACACCATTCCATAAATTATTCAAATCATGGTTTTCATGAAATGAGAAACACACAATTCAATTTTCAATCACAGATCTCTGTAACATGATAGTAGAAATATTACACCAATCATAAATTATTCAAATCAGGATGTTTAAATTAATCATTGTTAAACCTTTTACAGTATAACAGGGAAGTATACATCAGTGATCACACATAATATAACAGTTAGCTTAAATCACAATGACTTCGATCAAGATGCTTGAGAATGCTAATTAAAATGCTGATCAGTTATAAATAATACCAATTGTATTGCATAGAAATACTTCTTGTTTATTTCCAGTTCAAATACTAAACATCGCTCAGTAATAAACGTAACTGTTTGATAAAGACTAGAGCAGCCTGGTAGAAACGTCGCCCAGTAGTAAAGAGTAACTGTATTCCATAGAATTATGCCTTGTGTATTTCAAATTCAATTACTAAATTCCATTAAAACAATTCATCACAACTTCAAAATGATCATACACTTTCATGTCAATCCTGACACACAAGGTTTTGAATTGTTACTTAATTCGTGTATCCAACTGTCAACTAATTCTGTTATCTAACTTCATTTAACTATATAAAATCAAGTGATCAAGCCGACAGACACACGAAAGTTGAATTAAAGAATTTTGGTTCAGGTATCAAAATTTAACCACCTGAATGTAAAATATTTCATAATAAGATAACATGACTTAATCATAATAAGGATTGTTCACATGTTTTTATGTTTATTACGGATTGCTCACATGTTTTTATTATAAATAGAATAGAACAACACGTTCCTTTTATACTGTATTATATACATGTTTAACTTAATCTAGTCACAGCTGATTGGTTGCCATATGTATATACAGGGGGCCGTCAAATGAGTAATACCCTACTTCGTTCTACTTTAATAGAGCAGATGTGCAGAGCATGTTCATAGCATATCATTCTGATTACAAGGGTTTTCTGGGGGGTTGGGCTTCTTTTAAATCATAAGTCAACTACAGGGGAGTTAACAAGGGTGTTAGGGGATTGTTTTTTTAGGTCGTTAGCCACACACCTATATAAGGAGTTCACCAAGGAATTACGGGGTTGGGTTTTTGAGTTATTTATTGTTATCCACAGATATGTAAAGAATTTAAAAGATATTTATATTTGACAGTATTACTGACTAACATAGGTAGTTTAAAAGTAATTTATATATGTCAATACAGGTAGATTAACCGATTAGTTACCTGTATTTCCTGGTTGTCTTATATAGGTAGACCCACTCCTGTATTATCTTCAAGCCTAGACATAAGGCATCCTACATAGATTTTGTCAGACACAAATTATTAGACCACATATATCTTATAATACATGTTGTGTGATAATTTGTGTCCAACAAAGTCTGTGACAGGTGCCTTAATTGTCCAGGCTTAATTGATTTGTCTACAGGTACCTGTATTATCTCGCATACCTGGGGATTTTTCTTATCGTATTAATGTCATTATTGAGGTACTGACTTTTGCTAATGGAATTTTACGCCTGATTTCCCTTCAAGCTATCAATGAATATCAGTAATTCGGAAAATTGATCTAAACAACATCCTGATAATAAAAGGTGACTAGAGTTTATACATATTCTGTGTGTGAAATAGTTTTATTTAACACTTTATTTAACGCCCACATTTCCCACTTCATAGTAAACTGTATGGCGTATGCCCATCTTCATTAGCCCAGTTGGAGCAGAATAGTAGGACGTTAAATCACATTTCATTTTATTTTATTTCATTTCATTTGATATCTTATTCCTATTTTGATTTCCACCTGTCTGGGAATCTTTAACCTTTATTTGTCCCGTCCGAACAACTAGATGCTTCAAATAGATTTTTTTAAAAAAAAACTTGCTACACGAGTGGCTTATTTGCTCAAAATTATTGAACAATTATTGAACAATTTATTTAAGGCAATTAATCTTTCTGAATCAAAGCACATGGGATTTGATTTCTAATCATATCATTCAGTCAAGAGAGAGAGAGAGAAATGGGGTTTAACCTCCACTCGACACACACTAGGTCATTTCGGGACTAACATATGGTTGAATTTTATTTCAATAATTCGCTTGACCCTAGGGATCTTTAGCAGTGGGAGGAAACCGGAGGACCCTGAGAAAACCCACGAGGTTGGACAGGCGACTCATTCAGTCAAACAGTGGCACAATCAATGACCTATCAACAACTAGGTATATCATAATATCTGATCTATTAATAGATTATTATTATTAATCACACCCAGGAAATCATTCACACAGGTAACATACAGGTATATACAAAAGGTAACAGGTAAACAGTGATGTAACCAATGACCTATCAACAACTACGTATATCATATGATAGGTTCTATTAATAGATTATGAATTCCACCCAGGAATTCATTCACAACCAGACACCGATAAATACAATAGGTAACACACCTAATCGACCAATCATAATACTACCTTTATATTCTATTTATAGATTTTTCCCAGGGGGGTTGACACAATTTCATTCATAATTCATTCAATATATCATTCAGTACTGTTATACACATGCATATACACATGGGGTTTAATGTTGTACTTCACTGAACCAATCTGGTGAATGAAGAACGTCAGGTGTCATGCAGTGTGCTATAACTGAAGAATGTCAGATGCCACGCAGTGTGCTATAACTGAAGAACGTCAGATGTTGTGCAGTGTGCTTGGAGTGAAATTTTGCCAGGAACAGCAGCAAATCCGCCTGCTCTTCATCAAATTCCAACTATCAAGGGTTCCTTTACATGTACGCCAATGTGTCAGGATTTTTGTCCTATCCATATGACTAGACACTTTTTCTTGACACATTGGAATATTGGAATACACTAAACAGAT